ATTCATGCATTAACACACAATCACACAATGGATGGGTGAAGAATTAATATAGACAGATGGAGTGATAGGTTCACTACTGAATCCTTGTTCATCGAATCTACACCCAACACATGCAATAGGAATGACTCATCACTCATACTGGGAATATGAAAAATACTACTACCAATCAATTCAAGCAATAAAAAATAATGGAATTATATAAAGGAAGTTAGAAAGTTGTGTGAGAGGTGCTTTGATATGATTATGAGTGACAATAAATTGTGCTCGAAACGTGGTCATCAGTAAATATTACTGTATAACACTATGTGACTTTATCAAAATAAATTTTACCCATAATGGAAATATGCTCTACCACAGTGCACAAGTTCTATTCTTATATTTCTGAAATGAATATTATAACTAATAAAATTTGGATTGACGCCCATATTTCAAATTAACATGATGACCTCTATACGAGACCTAAATGCGTTGTCAATCTCTTTGGATTTATAAAAGCTGACATCTCATATCTTACTGATAGTCAGCATTTCATATCTATGCTATAAGAGGAGATATGAAATATAGAGCCGAAGGGTTCCCTATTTAGTCATTAAGTATTATCTATTCCTGTTTATTTCATAGTGTAACAACAGAAACGCAAGATACGGGAGCCAAGGTATCTTTTTCATTAATCAAACTGCTGTTTATATATCTACAGTTTATATTCGTTAACCAATCACCGAGCATGTGATTTACGTTTACATCAAACAACATGAAATAGAATGTTCAAATATACATGGTATTCTTTTGTTAATGCAGTATATAACCGTGGGAAATGTATTCTGTCTAACATCAAATCGAATTTTCAAATATATATATATATATATATATATATATATATATATATATATATATAGACCAACTTATGATAGCGACAATGTGACTTCATTCACTCAGAGATTATGGTGCTGTTAAGATCGTGAGAACTATTATTTTTTTATTTTATTTTTTTATTTTGGTTACAGCTTGATGCCACACCGTATTTTCAGTACAAGTATGGCATTTTCAGCATGGATATCGGTAGCCCAAATTTTGCAGGCCGACCATAGATATCGGGTGTGCGCCGGCAGAGGCTCGAACCCCGGACCATGTGCATGGTCGGCGAGAGTCCTAACCACTGTGCCACCGGCGCACAATAATTCGGTACATACTGTGTGCATATGACCACTCCAAGGGAATAAAAACAGGAATATATCACCTTCTTTAGGTGTTGATTAGCTCTCACTGGAAATCTTGTTTAACGTTATTTTTGAAAGGAAATAAATATTGATACAATCATTTCTGTAGTAGAGTTGTTTATAGTGTTAGAGTATAACTCCACTATGGATAAAATTTTATTTTGATAATGTCACACAGTGTATGTTATACAGTAATATTTACTGATGAACATGTTTCGAGAACAATGTATTACCGCTCATTATCATATCAAGGCACCTCTCACACAACTTTATTGCTTCATTTATATACATGAGTAAAAATTGATTCGACACTGAATAAAATCAATATAAGATGATAAAGTACATTCGGAAATAATGTTAGTGTCATCAATAAAATACAATAAGATGGGAAATAAGACGAGTGTTGTTAGCCCATGAGATGGGAAATAAGATGTTTTTATAGTCAAAATAAGTAGCTTGTAATATGAATTGAAATACATTTTAACATTATTTATTATCCTCCTCTGATTTGGCTGGTAGTAATAACATCTTCCATATCTCCGGTATTTGAGTTGAGTCATTTCTCTTGCATGTGTTGGGTGCAGACTCGATGAACCAGGATTCTCTGTCTCCACCTACCCATGGTACTTTTTAGAATTTTCATTCTGTCCCACCCACCCCACTGTGTGGTTCTGTGTTAGTTCATGCAATGCGATTGCTGAGTTTTTTTTCTAAATTACTCATCTTCACGGGATCAGTCATTCTAACCTTAGCTAAATTTTTATGTTCTGATAATTTAATACTCCGTATCTTACTAGCTTGACCTATGTAGTTGATCTTACAGTCTAACAAGTTATTTATTTCACTATGAAAGCATCTTATTTCCCATCTTATAGACTAACAACACTCATCTTTCTTTCCCGTCTGATTGTATTTGATTGATAATACTAATATTATTTCCGAACGTATTTTATCATCTTATATTGATTTTATTCAAATGTCGAATCAATTTTTACTCATGTATATAAATGAAGCAATAAAGTTGTGTGAGAGATGCCTTGATATGACTATGAGCGGTAATAAATTGTTCTCGAAACGTGTTCATCAGTAAATATTACTGTATAACAAACACTGTGTGACATTATCAAAATGAAATTTTATCCATAATGCAATCATTATTTGAGTTTTATAACTAACCGTTGCTGTAATGCTGAAAAATGTTTTCTGCGTAATTGTTTTCAATGTGAAATCGTCATATCTCCATTATAATAACTTAGAACTAAAATATATTGTGGTTACTTATTGTGTGTGGGTGTATGTGTATACATTAATACCCCTGAAATGTTACTAGTTCACTTATTTGTCAGCATTTTTAGCTATTAGCCACTTAACGTGTAAAAGTGTATTGCTCATTTGCCTATGAACTTCCCCTACAAATAATGGTTGACTGCTATGGAGCTAAGACACCTCCTAGATACCCAAACCATAGCAAGTGGTCATCTTAAGAAACTGCTGCCAAGAATTTGGTTTGAAATCTGATAGATAAGACTTAATAACAACGTCAGCAACAACAGCATTCTCACGGTCACGAATGACCAAAACAGCTCCATCATACACCATTCATTCCGTTTGGATTCCGGAGTCCGTATATATCGTAGATATGGAATGACAGTCTTTTACCCACACTCCCTTCGTCCTACATAAACCTCCATGTCCATTAATGAGGTGGTGTTTTCCTTTTCCATATCATATTGTGCCGTATTGTTCATGTGTGGCATATTTCTTGGTGTTCATATGTGGTGAGAGCTGTCTACTAGCCAAATTGGTAGACAGTAATTTACGTCAATATTTACGTTCCCAAGATTTGTCGTGAGAAAATGTGAACAAAGATTGATTCAAAACCGACCACAGCAGACTTTGCGTAGGCGGATGCAGTTAACATATAGAGGATTTGACATTCAAGGAACAGTCACAAAGAGATGAAAGATTAATTTTAAGTGAGAAACAACCAGTCGGAAGACCGTGTTTGTTTACTTAAATATCCATAGTAATGTACATGAAAATACATAAATATGCGTTGATTTCCTTAATAAATGATCTGTTGCCTGACTCTTCTGTCGTTACACATATTGTACCGAGTTTGTATCGTTTTTTAAATAAATAAAACATTAATGATTGTTTTTAAGTTTAAATCCTTCCTGATTATTATATTTTTAGTAATTCGGTATAAATATCACTCATCATAGTCAACCTCCTCAGAATATATATACCCCTTCTAATAAATCCTTGAGTTTTATTACCAAATTACATTTTAATGATTCAGGTATAGAAGTTAAACATTGAATTGGAAGAAATTTCTCCTTTCTCTAATAAAAAGTGCTTCTTTTCACGTTTTTTAGCTTTTTAAACAATATTCTGTAAGCGTGATCATCTGCTTTCCCTACCTAAAATCAATTAAACTTTCACTTAACTTAAAGCCCATATATTGTTAGATTTTTTTAAGGATTTTCCATATTAGATACCTTCGTATATATATATATATTTGTACACATTTGTACCCTTTTTGTTCAGTATAGCGTAGTGGATAACTCTTCCGGCGTAAAATGTGAGTATTAGCGGAAATACTATCAGTTACTGAGATTCAGGTACATCTAACTGAAGATTCCTAAGCAAGGTGAAACGTGTACTCTTGATTTGAATGCTGACCATTATCAATCAACCAGATATATGCATCTTTTCTAATGTTATAGACTTGTAAAAAATTGTAATTCACTGATATACATACTCGGTTTCTTCTCTATTAGATAAAAATCTAAATCCATCTAAATTTTTCAGCTATTTGCATCAATCAGATACTGGTATCATCGCTTGCTTAATATTTGTAATTTATAGTTTGCAGAGTACATACGTGAGGCTTTCATGAAATAGACAGAGTGGTTGCAAGTATTGCTGATATTCAGGCTAAGTAGTAGATTTCTCAAATGTTTATCTATTTATTTATTTATTATTTTATTCCTTTACATTCCCAGTGGAATATAGGACCTCAAGTTAGAGTTTTGAAGTCTCAGTAGCAGTGGTTTTTATTCATTTTTACGGCGGTGAGGTTGCCAGCCTCAACTGGCTTATCCTTCCCTCTTTACCTGTGGGCTTATTATCGGCTTAGTGCGAGGTTAAGGAGTGTGTCTGTGGCCGGGAATCGAACCTCGGACCATATTCATGGTTAGTGAGCATTCTACCACCGGACTACCAATGAAAATGTTTACCTTGAGATCATATTTTGTTATTTATGAGATAAAGAAGAGAAGATGGAAACAGAAGAAGGATAAATCAAACACACTTTTATTTATTGGAAAAACAAATCCTTATGTTATTATTTTAAAAATTAGAAGTATTTTCAATTACTCAATAAAGTGGGTGTGCATTTATGCGTTATTCATTCATTCACTCATTCCTGTTTATTGGTATATTTTATTCACACTCTTAAAATCTACGAGTTTCATCTTTAGGCATAAAAAGACTTCACATTGAAATGAATTCATTGAACACTGTCTCTGTTTTGTTTTGTTTTCTTTCTTTTTTTTAAATGAGCAGTTATGAGAAAACTGATAAGTTTGCTTCATTTCAGTAATATAATGATGAGTAGGTGAATGAAGAATGACACTGGATTAACATACAACAATTAGCTTCTTTTACAGAACAATTAAAACTAAAGAGAGCTGATTTAATTACTGTCTTTAGATTTGTGATTATTATTATTATTATTACTAGTAATACCTTATATATTATTCAATATGATGGCAAGATATACATTTTACATCATGAAGTATCCATTATTATTGTAATTTATAATCTGTTTGACCTGTCCAGTAACGAAATAGCGATAAAAGTATATCAGATCCTGTATAATTACCATTTCTAGATGAATCCCCGTGTTGATCAGATAACCACAATAATAAACACAATAGACCAATTACCAAGAATGTTGCAATAATCAAATTGTATATCAGTTTGAAAAATGAATTGAAATTAATATATTGACCTGTTGTTGTCAGTGTTAGAAAGAAATATACAAACAGTAATTTTAAGTGGATATATAGACTATTGTTATTATTATTAATGCTATTTAAACTTTAAGTTAGTATTTAAATGCAAGTGAGTATGACATTTTAATTGACCTTTATTTTGTGCCTATTGTCAGTTATCAGTATGCTGTACATAAAGTCATGGGGATTTTCACATCCATTGGATGACCTCAGCCTACGTCTTTATTTCCTCAAATTTCCACATTTTACCTCTGAACTGTTTAGATTATAGTTGATCCTCTCTGGGATCGAACAATGTGTACGATGTGGTTATTGTATAGTGAGTGACTTCTAGGATCAAACACCAAATCTAATTTCATTGAAATGTCACTTCACTTAGCTTAGTGGCTGTATTGAGCACATCATCCGATAAGGTTGAACCACTTCTATGATGTTCTGACAATACTGCTAAACATCATATATAGGAGATTTGCAGTTCATGTAGATGTTTTTGGTGTTATCATGTCCTCTTACCTCGATGGTTTCATTGGGAAACTTTTGTTGTCCTTCTGAGCAACATTTTCAACGCTAACTTCAATGTTAATCCAAAGAAAAAATTACATATCTATATTATTATTTTTATTTTATTCGTTTAAGTTCCCAGTGGAACATAGGGCTTCAAGCTTGAACTTTGAAATTTCGGTAGCAGTAGTGTTTATTTTTACAGGACGGGGTCGCTAGCCTCATGCCAACCTTCCCCCTTATTACTGGCTTAGCGAGATAAAGGAGTGCGTCGGTTGAAGATTGAACCCCGAACCACATGCGTGGTCGGTGACCATTCCACTGCTGTGCCACCGACATTGGTATACATATATGCAAAATTTTATTAAGAAAACTGTTCAACACCTGAAATTCACTAAATGCATATTGTTAGAATATAGATTTCAGTTATTCTTTTAACCTAACAGCTTAAATGATCATCCAAAGAGAGTTTTAGCCGATGATGTTCAGACAAGGAAGTTTTAAAACTTTATGAATGTTCTAATTGTTAATCCTAGCTATGCCGATAAAATTACGTACATTTTCACTAACCTTCACTGATATCTTTTTCTCTTAACCGTTATTCTCCTTCTGTTTTCCATTTATGCGCTATGCTAAAGTTTTCGCCATCGGAAGAAAGCCTTGCCTAATTTAGGTTTCGTTCTTGATGGCACTCACCAGTCAGCCAGGGGTATCTGTAACCCATTGAAGGAACTCATGTCCCTTCTGAGATTCGGGCCAGTGTTAACCAGTGGTGCATTCAGAGACGTTACCACTGAGCTATTCGGGCTGGCTCGCGATTCACCTCCTGTAGAACTGTACTGAATATTTTTGATTGAACACTAGTCGGTAACTAGAGTAATGTGTCTATTCCTATCTTTGATGCAGACTAAATTCTATCAGTCAAGTTCGCAATGTGGCCACCATATAACTAGCTGGCTTGCCACCAAGGTTCACTGTGAATTCTTTCACACGTTTATATCAACTTATCACTGTTTTGTACAACCGAAGTCTTTTCCACTAAGTATTATTATTATTGTTTCCTTTAATTCCTACAGGAACATAGGGCTTCAGCCGTGCGTCTCCATTGCGTTCGGTTCTCTGCTAGAGTCTTCACCTGGCTCCATGTCTGCCCACACGTTTTCATCTCCTCTTCACATGACCTCCTCCAAGTCACCCTTGCACTGACGACCAACTCGCCGCTTCCCTTTCGGGTTCCACTCGAGCAATGACTTGTCTAGTGATGTCACTTGATGGTTTCCTCAGAGTATGACCAGCCAATCCATCTCCATTTCTTCCTGCCTATTTGTTTCACAATCGGTTCCTGGTTGGTTCTCTTCCAGAGATCCCTGTTGCTGATCTTTTCTGGCCGGCCGTCTGATCTTGAGTATTGACCGAAGACAACTGTTGATGAAGGTCTGTAGTTTGTTTGAGATGCTCTTTATGACGCGCCAAGTCTCTGATCCATCCGTATAGTATCACTGACTTCACATTGGAGTTGAAAATCCGGATCTTATTTTTGATGCTGAGTGCTGTTGACCTCCACACAAACGTGAGAGTAATGAAAGCTTGTCTTGCTTTCCTGATACTCGCTTTGATATCCTCGTCAGTTCCACCTGTAATTGAAATGATACTTCCCAGATTGGTAAAGGTGGTTGCCTCTTTCAGATTTCTCCCATTTATGCTGATCGTTGTCTGTTGTTGCTGCTGCTGTTGATGTTGGCCAGGAATCTTCATCACCTCTGTTTTCTCTATGTTCACCTGAAGTCCCTCCTATCTTTGATGCTTCTTCTGCCAACTTGTTGCTTTTCGCTTGCATATCTTCCAGTTTGTGGGAAATCAGATATATATCATCGGCGAAGTCGAGATCCTCCAAGTTTTTTGTGTGGGTCCATTTTATGCTCGTCTTCTCGCTGCCCGCCACTGTCAGTGCATTACTTGGCATGCAGCACTGTCGTACAATTGTTAGATGAGATGTATAATTGTCGGTGGCACCCCGTAGTAGCGAAGTAGTTTCCAAATCACCTCTCGATAGACGCTGTCTGCTGAAGGCCTTTCCAAAGTCGATGAAGTTGAGATAGAGAGGTGACTGCCATTCCAGGCTTTGTTCAATGATGATCTGTAACGTGGCGATCTGATCAATGCATAACTTGTTTCTCCTGAGTCCAGTGTCGTATGATTTGACTTAATATTCTGCCTGGACTTCAGAAGACCATGAATCCTCCTTCTCACAGGATCTCCTCTGTGTCACTCTCAGACTCCTAACTCGTCGTTCCCACTCGGGGTCCACTCAAGCTGTAGTCTGTTGCACAATGTCACCCACTGGTCTCCTTAGTGTGTATCTGATCCATGTCCATTTTCTTCGGTATACCTGTTGACCAATAGCTTCTTGATTGGTTCGTTCCCAGAATTTCTTGTGGCTAATTCTTTTTGTCCGTCTGTGTCGTGTTTAGACTGAGATAAGATAGAAACTGATGCACAAATCGACTAGGATCAGTTAGGTAGAAAACTTTATGCTAAAGTGAAATGAAAATTCCAAACTTTACTGATATTTTCAAGTTTAAATTTAAAAAAGAAGGATAAAACAGAAGGAAAATAACACTGATAACTTACATATGAATCGGTGTCCATTTCTCAGCTTTGCACTACCATATGCTTTCATAGTGTTTGACAGTTTTTGAATTGATGAATTAGAGGTTAATGAGCAACTTTTTATTTGTTGAGAAGATTTACGCTTTTCTAATTGTTTTGCTGTAGATATTAAAAGTGATAAATGGAAGTACATACACTGTCACCCTTATTTTTCATCATAAATTAAGGTGCACATTAAATAAACTTATAGTTAAGGATAGTTGATGACTCAGTTTACGAGTTCCTTATATTATCAAATCGAAGTCTCAGGTGAGAACATTTTCCACTGTCTAACTATGATTTCTAACACAAAATGATTATAAAATAACGGATTACAATACCCTTAGGATAAATGTAATAATACCAGAGTTTATATATTGTAAAAAACCTTCAGCAGAGTTTACTGCATGATATTTTCTCTTCATCCAGGCAGGATCTTCAAATAAATAAAGCAAGAACAACAGTGGTTTGTGCATAATAATACCGACAAATATATGGTGTAGCTATGGGCAGTCCACTTAGCCCTGTTTTAGCAGATATCTTCAGGTTAAACCTTAAGAAAACAAAGTTGAAGCATGCAATTGACGAAACAACTTCCTATTGTCGATATGTCAATGATATATTTGTAGTGTGCCACAATGAAAGTCATGCTTCCTACCGACTTACTCAGATTATTCAACGACGCACATACACGTGTTGAATTTACTATGGAACATGAAAATGATGTAAAGTTCCGTTTCCTTGACACTGCAATGCAAAACCTAGGAGATGGTAGTCTCCAGAGCTCAGTTTACCGAAAGCCTACATGGAATGGACAATACTCACATTTTAATAGTTTTTGTCCAAATAGCTATAAGTGAGCACTAGTCAAGACTCTGTACTATAGAGAGAGCAGAATATGCTCTACAGGGAAACTATAGGAAGAATTTACGATTCTCAAAAAGGTGTTGAAAAACAACGGTTATCCTCAAAGATTCGTTAACAAGTATCGAAGATGTGAAGGCTCAAACATCAAGTAAATCACAGTGGGGGAAAAAAGCCTGTCTTCATTCAACTAGATTTTAAAGGTGAAAACATTGCAGTAATGGTCAACAGAAGACTGAGTACGTCACTAGCCAGAGCCTTCCCGCAGATAAGTTGGTTCCTGTCCATCGAACAATATGCTCTTTGGTGCAGTCAAATTCGACAGATACCCTTCTCATGTTAACTCCAACTGTGTATACGAATTTACATGTATCTTTGAGAGCAGTTACATTGAGAGAACAGAAAGCAGGGCACACCTACGATCTTCTGAACATGTGCCGAAAAGCCTACGTCTCAAGGTAACAAACTATTATAATAGCGCTATTACCAGACATCTCCTTGATACGGCTCATGAGGTGGAAATCGCGAAATCCTTTAAAATTATCAATAGACAAAGGAGCTCGATTTTCCTCAAGTTTTCCGAAGCAATTTCTATCAAACACTTGAAACCAGATTTATGTGTTCAAAAAAAGCAGTTATCAGTCTTTCATTGCCCTGCTAACTGGATATCTTTATTCTGTCTTTCATTTGATTACATAATCTTTGGCTTTAACCTCACCCCTTTGATATAGTGTAGTTTTGCTTGTCTCTTGTTTCTATGATTTGAGTTGAACTCAGTACATTGTTACCCAATTTATTAGTCACTCAGCATCTTACACATCTCTCGTCTTTATTACGTAACTGCTTTGCCATTGAATACATACACTTATTTTGTTTAAACTTGAACTGTCTGTGTAAAAACTATTAAAGCGGAATTTTCTGAGCACTGTTCACTAATTACGGAACCTCCTGTCAACTGACATCATGTAAAAATATGCAAGTATGTTAAAACTTTTCTGTACATAAACCTCATAATTTATTTAGGCCGTAAGCAGCTGATGAAAAGCCAGCGAAATAAATGATGGTACCATATTATTCTGCACAAACCACTGTTGTTCTTGCTTTATTTCAATTCATCAAGAGGAGTAAATGTCACTATGTTTAATTTAATTGCCCTTAATTTTTTGATGTATATCTTCTAGCAACCAGCTGCGAAAACAAGATACGCATCAAAAATTAATTTTATGAGTTAAACATATTTTCCATCTTCATACAAAAGAGTTAATCAAACTACTCTTGAATAACGAAAATGCTAACAAGTTTGCAGAAGAGGCATTGAAAATACGATGTCAGGTGAACACAGTAAAGAGAGAGAGGTCATGAAGATACCCAACCAACAATAGTGATTGCCATCAGGGTAAGAAATCTAGAGGAAGTTATCTTCTTCGTTTACCTGAGAAACATTATTTCAACTTACAGGTGGCAAAGCCAGCTAGGATCGGAAAGGCAAGACACGGATTCATTACTCTGAAATTGGCGTGCAGGTCTACTGCAAGTAGCATAAGGAAAAGGATTCGGATTTTCATACAACTGGTTCCCTTGATAAATTTCGATAAAGAAAGGAAGACGAAATTTGCAGTATAAAATGATATCATTCTATTTCACAGGTTCTCATCAGCTGCAGACTACCTGAAATTACAATGGTCATATAAATGATAATAACATACTTTAATGTTTGAGTAGTAGTAGAGAAGAGATAAAATTGACGCATCCAAAAAAGAGTGAAAGCATTACAATTTTTAGTTGAAGTTATCATCATCAATTTATACACTTTCAGAGTTGAAAAGAGGGGGGAGGGGTAAGACAGAAAACAGAAAAATTGATTAACAGAAACAGTGTTAGCTTGTAGGTTCACATGGCAACTCCAAAAAACAAAAGCATTTACGGTTTATAAGATTGAGATTTGCTCAGTGAGTTGAGATCACTGAATTAGATGACTAATCAAAATCAAAATTCAGTTACCAAGGGAGTGAGAGGTTAATCACACTCTCTTTCTGTATGCATAAGTCTGGTTTAAATCGTTTGATTGCGATCGCTTCGGCAAATCGTAGTAAATTTGCTGTCCTTTGTCTATTTAATATTTTGAAGGACTTAGAAATCTCCACGAGATGTCCGGTATCAACAATATGTCTGGTAATTGCACTCTGAGAATATTTGCTTCCTTTCAGGCATAGGTTTCTTGGAATATGTTCAGAAAACCGGATAGAAGCCCTTCTTTCTGTCCTTCCAATGTACTTGCTCCCGCAATTGCACGTAAATTCATAAACGCAGTTGGAGGTGACATCAGCAGGGTATTTATCCAGTTTTGAGTGGATCATGGAAGGAGTGGTGTTGTATACTGTTATGAGTTTTGCTGCCGGGAAGCTTCTATTTATTGCTCCTTTCAGTCTTCTGTCAATCTTTTGTGAAACTGCATCTCCTTTGAATGGGAGATGCGTTTATGAATTTACGTGCAATTGCGGGAGCAAGTACATTGGAAGGACAGAAAGAAGGGCTTCTATCCGGTTTTCTGAACATATTCCAAGAAACCTATGCCTGAAAGGAAGCAAATATTCTCAGAGTGCAATTACCAGACATATTGTTGATACCGGACATCTCGTGGAGATTTCTAAGTCCTTCAAAATATTAAATAGACAAAGGACAGCAAATTTACTACGATTTGCCGAAGCGATCGCAATCAAACGATTTAAACCAGACTTATGCATACAGAAAGAGAGTGTGATTAACCTCTCACTCCCTTGGTAACTGAATTTTGATTTTGATTAGTCATCTAATTCAGTGATCTCAACTCACTGAGCAAATCTCAATCTTATAAACCGTAAATGCTTTTGTTTTTTGGAGTTGCCATGTGAACCTACAAGCTAACACTGTTTCTGTTAATCAATTTTTCTGTTTTCTGTCTTACCCCTCCCCCCTCTTTTCAACTCTGAAAGTGTATAAATTGATGATGATAACTTCAACTAAAAATTGTAATGCTTTCACTCTTTTTTGGATGCGTCAATTTTATCTCTTCTCTACTACTACTCAAACATTAAAGTATGTTATTATCATTTATATGACCATTGTAATTTCAGGTAGTCTGCAGCTGATGAGAACCTGTGAAATAGAATGATATCATTTTATACCGCAAATTTCGTCTTCATTTCTTTATCGAGATTCGGATTTTCATCACAATAATATCAAGTCACTGCTTTTGTACTGTTCAGAGAAATAGTATGCGCATCATATAAACCGTTTCCGACGAACTGCAAACCTTCATCAACAGTTTTTTTGGTTCTCTACTGATGACTGGATAGCCTGAAAGAATAAGCAACAAAGGAGTCTGGTAGAAAGCCAATCAAGAATCTGTTCCATAACAAACAGGCAGATCGATTGGGAGCTGGATTGTACCTACGCTGAGGAGACCATTGAGTAAATTCACATGACAAGCTGTCGGATGGAACCAATAGTGACATGAAGAATATCATACGAAACTTGTGTGCAACCTCAGAGCCAGCTGAAAGTGACTAGTGAGAACCCAATGGAACACAGATGTACTACTGAGCCCCTTCTATTCCCCATAGAACTCAAAGAATGAGTAATAATAACACTAAGGAAGTTTATGTATGTTGCGAAAATAAGTACACTTTAGGATTCATCTGCCATACATTTCTCCCTGATTACCAGTATACGTTTTCTGATTATCACCCAAAAAATCACAGAAGATAAATTTATCCATATATGAGTCTTAAATAACAATAATTGAAGATAAAATGGAACCGATTCGTAGTTCTTCGAAGTCGATTTTTGTCGTATTCAGAGTTTAGCTATATTTCATGAATGCATAGATCAATAAGTAAATCTGAACAAACATGGAGATTTCAAATTAGTTATACCTCAGTGACAGAGATGGCACACAAACGGGAGTGATGCTCTTGCGACGAGTTTATATGAGTGTGAGTGGAGACAGAAGAGGAGAATACAAATAAATGGTCTACAACTTGTAAGGTGGTGAAGAATGAATGCACCGAGGCCACTGTTTAAAAACTTAATCATCTGTAACATATATATTACTGCTGTCATTGATTTATTGTTTTCCCGCGTATACAAGAATGGGGAAAGAAAAATGACCCAGTGACCTTTGTTTATTGTCGTTATTCAACTGCTCCTGACATACAACAACGTTGAGAGGGACTGACACAGTATGTATAATGATTATTAAAACAGACAACTCACCTATTCTCTTTTTCATAAATGTATCCAGGTCGCATTTTTGTTCTTTAGAAGTTTTAAATATTTTGATAACATACTTCTTGTGTAAACGTTTCCGAGGTGTATTTCTACCACTTGATTTTGATGCTAATTCATCACTATCATAGAGTTTTACTGATTTACGTTTCATTTTAGAACTGGATATTGAATTCAAGTCGTCAGCATGACTGGCATCTTTTGATGTTGATGTAGAACATGCTAAATGGTGTAACTTTGTTCTCTTATCACTAGTAATAGCAGTTGTCGCTGTATCGGTAATTTTAGCATCTGGTGTGGTATGATTAATAAATGGTGTTGGTTGATAGTTGCATCGATTGATATTTTTAATTGTAGGCGGCAGATTAGATCGAATAGGTGGCCAAACTCTTATTGATTGTTTATTTAAATGTTCTGTAAGATTTGGTGGTTTTGGTGGAACAAATGATGAATGTGGTGAAGAGTATGAAGCAGATGGTACTGGATGATTACTAATCCCTGTAGTATCATATTTTTTTGACACTAAGAATTCTTTTGAAGTAAGCGGATATTTTTTCAAACTTTCTTTATCTTCATAATTCCATAAGATTCCAGTATATTGTGAATTCGCCTTTTGAGGTTCACCCTGGGTAAGAGATTTCGACTTTGATAAAGTAACCAAAGCTTCGTGGTGTTCAACTCCATCTTTTTCAATGAATGTCACTTGTTCAAGTACCTTTATGGAATGAAGCATTTCAATGGATAATTTTATATTTGTGTATAAAAATGAAAAATGGAAAAATTAAATACAATCTGTGAAGAAAACAAAATCTAAATCTGATGAAACATTAGATAACTGGATAATCATAGATGTTGATGAATTCGTTGTACTATGCTCACCTTTCATCAGCCAAACCCGGTGGTGTTAAGCTAAACGTTTATGGAGAACACACTTACAACGTCCAATGTAATCAGTTTCACACAAGAATGTGAGCGAGTATATTATGCCTCTAGAGGTGGAAATAAGTGGTAGTTTATCCTTGACGCATTGTCAAATCTCCTTTTGGCTGGTTTATCTAAATGTATTAAACGCTGTTTTTATGCAGCTGACTTACATTTAGTATTTACCAGCCGAAATATGATTCGACAATGCGTCAAGAATAAAATATGTCCACCTCTAAAATCACTGGGAAACTATCAAGTTATTCTTACAAAAATTCTGAAGAAATTTCATTAAGAGCGAAATGATCTCAATAGGTTAACTTCTACACTTAATTTACTAGATGATATCTGAACAGTGGTGATAATATGACTGATCATCTATAAGCACACAGCGTTTGTATATTTAACAGATTTCCTGCCATTGACTGCTTTCATAAGGAGTCAGTGTGTTGAAAAAAAACAATGATGTGCGTCGGTGGCACAGTGGAATGGACTCTCGCCGACCATGCACATGGTCCGGGGTTCGATCCCCTGCCGACGCAGACCTGATATCTATGGTCGGCCTGCAAAACCTGGGCTACCGATATCACATGCTGAAAATTCCATACCTGTAGCAAAAAATACGGTGTGGAATCCAGCTGTAATCAAAAATCAAATAATTATGTGAAACGAGTTTGTGGCAGCTAATACTGATGGTATATTCTTGGATAGAATAATCTAATCAGTACTACTATTATTATTATTATTCCCTTGGGTTCCAAGTGGGACATAGGGCTTTAACAACACTTCTTCACTTTGTTCTATTTCCTGCTGTCCTCTTCATCTGGTCCCACGTTTGCCCATAATTTCTCATCTCCTTCTCCTTGCCACACGATCTCACCCATGTCACCTTTGCACCGACGACCCACTAGGCGCTTCTCATTTGGATTCCACTCCAGAGATGGCCTGCACTGCGCGTGATGTTATTCGATGGTCTCTTCAATGGCATGTGCCCAATCCATCTCCATTTTCTCCTACACATTTTTTGAGCGATCGGCTCTTGGTTGGTTTCGTCATCAGCCAGAGTTTCTTGTTGTTATTTCTTTCTGGCTGGCTGTCCATTCGGCATTCACTATGGGACCAGAGAAGTCAACTGTTGATAGAAGTTTGCAGTAATCTGTTGGAAATGCTTTTCGTGATAAGCAGTGCGAGTTTCTAACCCGAAAAGAAGCACCGACTGATGGTATATTCTTGTGCAGAATAATCCATTCAGTAACAACCTGGTTAGATAACTTTGTATCTATAGTGGACATACTTTTCTTGAATGGCTCTCATAGCCATTTCTTTAACAAAACATAAATACAGAATAAATACAGAGGTAAAATGATTCACCTTTTTCGAAACTATAAGTTGAAAATCTGCACAAAATTTATATCTTATTGAATTAAGAACCGTTTCATCTGTTGAAGTAATTCCTCTTAACTAATAATTTATTTCCCCTGGGCAAACGTCGCTCATTGGCTTAAGCATTCGACTTTCAGTTACTGGATCCCAAATGTCAATCTCACTCCAAACTTCTACACTCTGGACAATGGCAGACGAATGACGTATTCCAGGACACTGAATTCAAACACAACTTGAAGCGGTATATAATTCCCCAGAATTATTAGACTACAGCCTTCTACACTCAACACTGAGTGGCGACCTTCACTGTTTTAGTCGGCTTTTCAATGTGAAGGTTTGCGGTCAAGCATCTACGCCATTTGGAAGATCCCTAGCCAGCTAAACGACCATCACTGCACTACGATTCTGACCCCGAAATCTATTTGGTGCTTTGGACGTTCAGTTTGTTTTGACTTGCCTTTGGTCTAATCAGAGCAAGTACTTTGGGAATCACAGGATAGAAACTTGCATTCATGTACGGTGTATCTAGCTTAAAACTCGATATTGCTTCATCTCCAAAAGCCTCCCAAACTTGTCTCTAAAACTGCTAGATTTTTAGTAATTTGAATTTAAACTTCGTTGCTTATAGACAAATTTTCATGTATACATGATCAAATTGATTAACCGTCAATTAGAATACGAATTGACGCCAGTTAGAGTGCTGCTGGAAATCAGGCAGTACTGAACATCTGTTCCGTCCTGCTGCATTAGTGAGAGTATAATTATTTTCAAGCTGAATTTTGTCAAAAAATCAACAACTTCTGAACATTGGGAGAAAAATAATTTAGCACTGGAAACATGTTTTGTCCCATTTTTAGAGCTATTTATCAGTATACACTCATGATCCCACCACCTGTATAGCTTATGGAGAGGAGAAAACCTGAGTTTTAGTAAATGAAAAGCTGGAAACAGCCAATTGGATGTCATCACTCAACTGTTAAGAAGATATTAGCTTTGAGGTGAATGCCTGTAAGGAGACATATGTGTATTTATAAATGAAACTGGGTCACTGTCGCTCAATGCATAAGTTGGAAGTCATCATTTCACTAAAGTGGAAAAAAACATAAACTCATTTTTCTAGCTAATATTAATTCATGACAAAATCCATTTAATAATACTAATGACTGTATTCCAAACTTTAATAATTATACAGCGCTTTTATACATAATGCAATAACTCAGCCCCTTTTTTGTATATATGTACGTCTTTTTATATTCCTTTACGTTCTTAGTGGAACATAGGGCTTCAAGGTAGAGGCAGTGGTGTTTATAACGACGGGATGGGATTGCTAGCCTCGTGCGCAACCTTCTCTTTACCAGCCTTATTACTGACTTAGCAAGGTAAAGGAGTGTGTTTGTGGCTGTGGATCCAACCCCGCACCACATGTGTTGTTGGAGAGCATTCTACCGCTGTGCTACCGACGCCACAACATGTACGTACACAAAGTTAAAAAACTAAGAATAGTAATAAAACCACAAAAAACTGAAGGTTGCTAGAATCATAATGTATTATAAATAGATAATACATGTAATAATAATAACTTTTGCTTATACTTTGCAGTTCGCTTACTGATTTAATAAGATAATAAGTTCTTTTCTGACACCTGACTCTTTCTTCACACAAAACCCGTGCTAATTGTGGTATAGCAGAATTTGTATGTTTAGTTTTATGAAAATAAATTCTTATGAAGTTTTTTTCTGGTTTAACCTCCAAGAGAGATACGAGGAAACAGTTGGTAATAAAGAGGATGTTCGGTATCAGAAAAGATAACTTTAGCCAACTGCTTGCAAGAATTAAAATGCCTGAAGACAATAGTGTAAGTTAATTGAGTCAACGGCACATCAATAACCCAACTTACAGCCTTCACTGTTCTATGTAGTATGATATAGTCTTTTTTGAGAAGTCAAGGGAAGAATAAGGGTGAATGATAAAGAAGAATGGGTAGAATACATGAATTAATAAATTGTAAGACAAGAAGGGACGTTGAGATATTCCAGAAATTCCTAATTTCTCTATGTAATAAGTCAAACGGAAAAGTTTCACAGAAATCAACAGAATATGAGATGAACAACAGAGACTTGAAGAGATACTGATGAGGAGATAAGAGATATTCAATTTGCTTTCTATCACAGTGCCATCAATATTATAGGAATCATGGGTATGAATCCGCCCACACAAGTCTTGTCCGCATCTGTAACTAAAATCAACAACATGACATTTATCATAATAAAGGTTTTTGTATTTCCCAATGAATGAAAAACAAAACGATGTTGTTTTTACTGACGTTTCGCTATTTAATGCTGATAGCTTTATCAAAGTATTATACATGACATTTAGATGGATTCATTTTAGGACCATTTATGCCGAAGCCACTTGTTCACTTCAGATAAGAATCCATTCACATATCAGAACAACCCAAAGCAAAAACTACTGGGACAGAAATGGTCAGGTTGTCGATATATTTAATGAAGTTAGCTTTGGATAGTACTATTCTGTCCTTATGACCTCTATCAAACAAAAGAAAATACAATTATATTTTCAACTCACTTTAACTAATTCTGCTACTCTACCCTTTGCTGGTACTGGTGAATGTGATTTTGATGGATATATTTGCATAGTCTGTTGATCTAATGTTATCGATTGAACTAGACTACAATAAGTGTTATCATCATTATCAGATGTTATAGGTATATTCTTAGTATTTGTAGAAATGATACATTCATTAATATTATTATTAGATGGTAATAATTCATTATCAATTTTAATTGTATTCAACTGGTTATCTTTTTCTTGAATATTTAATGTATCATCTGCTGTTGTTGTTGCTGCTGCTGCTGCCGCTGCTGTACATGTTTTTGTATCATTAGTATTAGTTATAGAATCTTCCTTTTGACTTGTGATTTCATTGGGTTTTGATCCGTCAACAACATGCTCTAAGGTGGCTGAATATTGTGCTGTAAATTTAATTTTTTTTTTAAAAGTAACACTCAATGAAGAGTAATAAAAAGTTCATCAATAATAGAGAAGATTTGTAGCTCAGGTGGATGATTTGCAATTGATAGTGTTCTCTGAGCTGGTTGGTTTAGTTGTGGAGCTTTCGTCTCTCCTGTGTTGGTTCTCCTGATTAAGACATCTAAAAGTGGGATTTTGTTATCTAATTCTTCTTCTCTTGTGAATTTGATGTCTTCAAATATGTTGTTTATCAATTTATGGGTATATTCTAAATCATTTCTCTTAGTTATTACAAATGTATCGTCAACGTAACGTACCCAGATTTTCGGTTTAATTATAGATAGAGCTATTAATTCTAATCTTTGCATAACGGCTTCAGAGGAAGATGTTGTCCAAAAGGACGACGAAAGCTCCGCAACTCAACCAACCAGCTCAGAGAACACTATTAATTGCAAAAAGTTCTTCATATGAATCAGTTCACTGATTTCATTTTGCAGAATAAATTTGAGTGAAATTCTAATTTAACCTGAATTCCCTAACTGATACAACTTGTCAGTAAGGTTTACTTTTACAAAGCAACAAAAATCTGAAGAAAATGATACTTCTGTGAAATGTACAAACAAAATATCAATCAAGGCTGTACTAAGAAAGTAAACCAATTGAGTTATCTAAGTAATAGGGACTTTAAGATTATTATTATTTCCTTGGGTTCCTAGTGGAACATAGGGCTTCATCAACACATCTACACTTTGTCCTATTTTCTTCTGTCATCTTCAGCTGGGTCCACGATTGCCTATAATCTCTCACCTCCTCCTCTTCCTTGCCACACGATCTATCCAATGTCACCTTCGCACCGACTACCCATCTATCACCGCTTCCCATTGGGATTCCACTCGAATGATGGCCTGCACTGCACGCGATATCATTAGACGGTCTCCTCAATGTATGCCCAATCCATCTCCATTTTCTTCTACGTATTTGTTGAGCAGTCGGTTCTTGTTAGAGTTTCTTGTTACTGATTGTTTCTGGCTGGCCATCTGATCTTCAGTATGGAGCCAGTGAAGGCAGCTGTTGATAAAAATCTGCAGTAATCCGTTGGAAATCCTTTTTGTGACATAAGCGCAGTGCAAGTTTCTGACCCGTATAGAAGAACTGACCGACTTCACAAATGTGTTGAAAAACGGAATCTTGTTGTTTATGCAGGCTGAGTACAGAAGATTTCCAAACTGGTTTCAAGTTGATAAAGGCGTATCTTGCTTTTCTGATTCTGACTGGCTGTCTTTGACATCTTCATTCGTTCCGCCTCTAGTTGAAACGACGCTGCGTGGTCAGATAAGTGAAGGAAGTAACCTCTTTCAATTAAGATGTAATAAATAATTTTTAGAAAATAACTATTGTCACTCTATCTCGTCCCGTTTGCCAACTTTCAACAATCTGAAATTTTTAAAAAGTTACCTACCATGACAAATGTTTGAGACTGATGAAAACTTTAGTACTCAGAACTAAATTATCTTATGCTGAATTATTATAATATATTGTTATTCCCTTTGATTCTGAGTATAACATAGGGCTCCAGCGGCATATCTCCACTTTGTCCTTTTCTCTGTAGTCATGTGCATCTGACCACACAACTGCTGATAGGCTTTCATCTCTTCCTCACACGATCTTCATCATGTCACTCTAGGACGCCAAACTCGTGGATTCCCGTTCGGACTCCCCTCGAGACCCTGGTGCGCGATGTTATTCGACGGTCTGCTCAGAGTGTGTCCTGTCCATCTCAATATTCTTCGACGTATTTAATGAGCAATAGGTTCTTTGCCAGTTACATCCTACAGTTTATTGCTGTCAACTATCTCTGGCTATTCTATCTTTAGTGTGGAGGGATGAAAATTGTTGAAGAAAGTCTGCATTGGGCTGTTAGAAATGCTTTTCATGACACTCCAAATTTCTGAATCATGTAGAAGAACTGACTAACTTAACACCGATGATGAAAATCCGAATTTTTTTCTTCATACTGAGTGTAGAAGATTTCTATACTGATTTCAGAGTGATTAAGATCTATCCAGCTTTTCTGATTCTGGTTTTGACGTCCTCATCCGTGCTGTCGTCGGTAGCTGAAATTATGCTGCCTGGATAAGTAAAGGAAGTGACTTCATTCAGATTTCTTCCGTTTATAGCGGATGATGCTTTCTGTTGGTAACTCTTCAGCAATCAGTTAGAATGATCTAATGTGATGAATTCAGAAAACTTCAAGATGTTTGAAATAAACCCATTACTATTATTATAAATGGTTTCCTCATAATAACAAATTCATATGGAAAACATTTTGATGACTAATCTATAAATGACACTTTATGCGGTGGTGAGTATTTAATGTGTCTACAACTTGATGATTCGTAAGTTTCCAGTTATCCTGAGAAAAAACATTATCATGTGTTGGGGTGTATTGCAGTGAAAAAGATAGTTGTTCTTGGGTTGTGTCCTTGGTTCACAAAATGGATTCCTGAAAGGTGGCTAATTGTCATTCCACCAGATTACATGCAATTACCGAAGAGCACAAAGGAGAGACATCATAATTTCTTGGTATGCACTTGGTATGTCAGGCAGAAGTGTTTAACATGACCTACTGTCACGTGATATGTTATTTGAAGATCTTGGATGGAGAGAAAATATCATGCAATAAACAACGCTGAAAATTTTGCAAACAATAAAGCTATTATTATATGGTTTTACAGGATTAAAGTTATAATGAATGATAGTTATTCATCTGTGACGTTGCACTCTACAAGTCATATAACGTTTAGAAAGTTGAGTGAATGATTTTCAAATAGTTGGATACAGTTAAATGGAAATCGATTCTATAAGCCAAAGTTACAGCAAGTAAATAAATGGCTAACTGGTTTAACACAGCTTTCATAGCATTATATTTATCTAAAGTTACACCTTCAAGTTACGTATATAACCTACCTGCTAATCTTTCAGTTAATTCTCGACAAAATTCACTGGACAAATTCGATTTATTTTTATCAGTACAAATAACTGGCAAAGTTTCCAGTTCCTAAAGAATTTAAATAATAGTACATATATGCACTGTTATTGCTGAAGAAACATCAAAGAGATGAAATATATTTCTTCTAGCCAGTGTGCCGTAAAGTTAGACTTCAGTTACGTTGACTAGATCATTTTATGTACACTTATGGTATAAGTGCTGGTGATGATGTGTATTCACTTGCCCAGGCTAAAGTATGCGAAGCTTTAAAATGTAACTTTACACTCATCTGCATGACTGTCTAACTGCTGGCATTATTATTACTCCAAAAGCGAAACAGGGAGGAGGTTCAAATTCCTTTATGCATCTTTCAAACTACTCAAGACTTATGTACTACATTCGAAGATATCACTGGTGAATACGCCAATACAGTTTGATTGTTTGTCATTCTGTCTCTTCGTACGTTTTCGAATATAAGAAAACTATACAATCTTAAAATAAAACATGATTTTTAAAATTACTAATCATTTAACACTGTAAATGCAATAAATTTTTAAAAAAGGGTGACTGGGTGCATAATTTCACGTAAACAGGGAATATTATAACAGCAAAATAATAATCATAATAATATTCGCACAAGCGAACAATAAGTCAGGGGATGAAAAAGATGGATATACATCATCTCAATGTTCAAGTTATTAGGAAGGATAAAGTATGAATCTATGTGAACTTTAACCGCCTATTTTGAAGCATATTAACTACAGAATTCTGTCACACGGTTTTTCCTGTCAATGACTCCAATCACCAATATCTGCAACTCCTCAAGATGCATAAATCTCTTGAGTTTACTTCTTAATGACGTTAACAGACTACCAGTCAAGGCTTATGAATCACATATATTTGTTGTCACCATGTCCGTATGTTTGTTTGTATGGCAACTTTAAAAAATTATCTAAATAGAAATATTTGTAGGGTATACAGGTGACAAGTCCTATCGAAATTTATAAATTCATTAAATACTGCGTTTCTCAAAATTGTTGCTTGTCATAATTATGTTCTCTTTCTGGTGAATTTCACGCCTATCCACTTTATCTTCACCTTCATCACCGAACTCTTAGTTTTAAACACTACTTGACCTAAATTGGTGGATAGTGACTAACAGTGATGGTGTCCAGGATGCACATTTCGCCCTATTTGGGATTCCTAGTGAGTGATGATGTTCCTACTGTGGCTGGGACCTAGTACCTATAGTTTAAATCGCCAAAGTGTTATACACTAGATCACTTGGGCCATGAGAACCACTTCTTGTGAATCTGCACAAGAAGCCAACATGTCAACCTGAAACCGAGCACGTCAGTCCAATCAATCAACGAGAAGATCCAAACTGAATTAAATAACTACTTGACCTATCTTTAAACTAATAATACCAATTCTTTTATTTAATAAGCTTTTAAAATTTTTGGAATTCATCTCTAATCCTTCAAAAATGATGTTAACATTTTTAATACTTATTAAATGTCAATCCATTGAGCAATTTTTAGTGTCACTTAATAACATTTCCCATGATATAAATATACCTGTACAGAGTGAAAATGAAACTGCTGAAGAAAAGTCTTTCTCTAATGAACAGATGTGTGCTTCTTCTTTATTATGAGGATTGTAGTTTCTTCTAGCTAATGTTTATCAGCAAAACACAATCAGAAGAATTATTTTATCATTAGTAATACAACCTCTTTGACTTTCACTAGCATACGTGCTGGACAGATGAGTGTGAAAGCAGAGGAAGTAATTATTCTCGACGATTCTTTCGTAATGAAAACATCATAGAAGAACTCGACAAAAGTAATGATACAAATAGTATTTTTAGGGTGAGGGGTATTTAGCTATCGCTATCTTGTTATAATTGAATAAAACAGGGTAGAGTGTGCACTTGAAAGCTTAACGCCAGCTGCACATTTGTATTGTAGATACATGGCTGCAATCATTAGCTTTCATTTCTTCTTCTTGGATCGCCTTTATCTTATTTTTACTCAAGTTAAAATTAAAAGTTGCATAGTCTGAAATCACTTGAAAGGAAACAAAAGTCATTCACAAAATATCATATTTTTAACTTCTGAGTCGAAGTGTGAACCACTGATTTGTACCTTCACAAATAACCAATAACAAAGAACAATGCTGCGAGGAAATCTGAATGGATAGTGCTCTTAGCTAGCAATGACTTAAATAAATCGTTGCCATAGATAAACCTGGGTAGCTTCGAAAGTCTAAATTGAATGTGTGTCATCTAGATAGAACCACAAATCAATAGCGTTTTTTCTGATAGCAAAGTAGATAATGTTTCGTTGTACGACAAAATATATGGGTAGAATCAAAAGAGATACTTTTATTTAAGTTAATGCACTGTATACCCATATGTGAGTATGTGACTAAATAGCAACAGAAACTGAAAGGAATTTATTAAGACCAAAGGTGTTACACATTTTTGTCTTGGAAACTTAAACACACGACATTCATTTAGCTCCCCCCGAAATGGATGTGTTCGGAATAATTCCGCTTTATGATCTACCTAAATAGATATTTACTTGAAGAGATTGAAAATATCCCACTAAACCCTTGAATCATAGTAAATGCTTTATCTATTTTCTACGTATTACAAGTTCATTGCAAAACACAGTCAGATTTTCAAACAACCAGTTCGCTTTATTAATCTGAACAAATGGTCAGTTTTGGTGTGAATTAGATCATATATTCCCTTGTTTTGAATCGATCCATTTCCTCTGTCGATAAGTCTCATTCAGTTGCTGCTATCAATAGATATAATATACCATTTAATTCTGCTATCCTCATTTACTCGTCCTATAAACGGCATCAAAAATATTACACTTCGTGATATAAATATGACAGTTTCAAAAAAATTAGTCATATCTTACTGCGGGCTAAGACTCATGTAAACATCTGAAATAGTTTCGTTTTGCAAGTAATTAAGTCTGATCGTACGCGGCGAGTTCAAAGGCAAATATTTGTGGCTTTCTTCTGGAATGAAATGGAATCTTCTAAATATTTTAATAATATTTCTGCAGAAAAAAACTTTAAATACTAATCTGATAACACCAAAAAATGGAACATCAAGGAAGAAAATAAAGAGCGTTTAACGTAACACTCTTGAACTCCGTAAGTTAGTAACAGTATGAAATCACTCAGAACTTACATTTTCTCTCTTATGCACTTTTTTATCGTCATCTTCTGTAAAAAGTAATAGGTGTAAAACACGGATTTATCACAGTTTGATCAGGAAATTAGTTCGTTGTACATTAGGAAGCTTATCATCCATAAGCCCTTTTCAGTGACTGATTTTCGAAATCAGTGTAAATTTTATCCAATTATTTGACAGTGTTCCGTGTAACACTAACTCGTTCGAAACAATATAGCCACCTGTTAATATCTAACACCAAATATGCTAATAACTGGTGTAAGTGTTATGCAGTTCAATACTGAGAACCTCTTTATGATGTAATATAAAGTGAAGCATAAAAACGAGCATAATGAGTGCTAGATATTTTGTTAATGCGATGTATAGTTTAGCTGTTTACAGCGTATAGGTACTTCTCTGACGGTTATCTAAAAGTATTTTGGAAAATATATAAATTCCAATATAGAAGCCAGGTTGTACAATTATGCTTCAAATATTAAACAGAAATTAAAACCTAACAAACTACAGCTGTCATAATGCTCAGCCTTAAGGCTACTGTGGTCACTCCATTTTTGGTGAGTTTCATACAGGAGAAAGGTAGGTGTCTGTTTTCCGATGTCACTGTAATTTGCTCAGATATATTTCATCTTCCTGATAGCGTCACTAGCAAAAACAGCACCAATTCAGAAGATTAAATAAACAATGCGAATAAAAACAAGAATTTTGTTAAATTCAAGCTCACTGCTCACCCTCTGAATATTTGTTTCGGTTATTCTTATTGTGAGAAAGAAGATCATCTATGTTAGATTCAGCCATGCTTTCCTTATCGTAGGCGGATTGGAAACACTGTTTGCAGAAAAACTTCTCGCTCCAGAATGTGACTCGCATACCAGGAGTGAAAGTTTTCCTGAAAAATTTAGTTAATAATTACTTAGATACCCACCGGCATTCATTGCAAAAGAAGCAGCTTCTATGAAAGCTTTTGTCTAAGACAGTGACCATATCTCCCGTTATGTATGACCGGCAGACACAACAAAGCTGTGATTTCAGCTTTTTAAAATCTTCCGAACAATAAAATGACCCACAATCTTCGTAATAGCCATTTTCTCCAAGACATACCGCACAAACTTTTTCACGAAATTAGCTAGTTTATTAAAGAATCTTACCACTGCAGCGAAAGCAGTCATGATGGAAAAATAAATCAGAAACTTTTAATACATCACCTTTGCATATTTCATTACACTGTTTGCAGACTATAGACTCCATCTATGCATTCATATTATATTGTTAACACATAAGCACTTTTAAATAGTACTAGTATTATGCCCAGTTAAACAAATAAAATCTAACTTCCTTATTGTGAAAATCAAAATATCATATTAGGAAACAAACCTTATTCCTTGTAATTTTCAGACTGCGTAGATTCAGGTTTTCTACCACGTATTACTTCAGTTATCTACATTCCTATGTGAGAAACATACCAATGGGCGACTAACACTACAGTGATTTCAAATATGTTGTTATTCTTCTTTTAGGTGATGTGCGTAATAGATAGTGTAGAAAGTATCTTTCAGAAAATCAAATGAAATCTTACACTCAAATAGTTAACTGTATCAGACTGCAGCAACCTATTTTCCGCCTACCGAACCTTAACTCTTGAAGTATAATTTTATTGGTTACAGGAATTCATCATAAGCTGATATCGGTTAGAGAACCATAGGAAAACCTGAGAGTGTTGGACAGCTGTTTCGTCCTAGTTTGTGACTCTCCAGCAGTGATGAATTCGTGTAGCTAATCAATCAAATCCCTACAAACCAGTACCTAAATATCAATGAGATGCTCACTAGCGACTGGCCCTATTCAAGTAGGTAGTTACCTGGAGTTCTAGTGGGAAGTCGCGACCATTAGGGTACAGCAGGTCGTGGATGATTTTATTTTTGTGAGATGGACCTTTTCATTTTGACTCCTGATTAAACAGCACGTTTTAAAGTTGGGTCACAATTTACACAGGACATGAGATTGTGTTCAAGATATCATGAAATATTCTATAGTGGCTAATAGCCAATAGCTTCACCACCTTAAAGTGACGAATAATGACAGATCCAAAAACTCTGTGTAATGCAAAACTCTTACTAAGTATCTGAAAAAGTATGTCTGGTGCCTGGTGGAGTATTTCCGAGCTGTTGGTCTAAATTATTCATTTAAATACTTAAGTGTTACGCTAGACATCATCATCGGTTCCGTGCAACGGATTGGATTAAATACAAGGACACTTTTTTGAGATCCTAGTGCAGTACATCTCTGTGTGTAGTGAGGCATATGGAGTTAGACTGGCTGAAGTTTTCCACTGCTGTGAACTAAAGTCACTATGTTATGGAATTCCATTTCTTGTTTTTCCAGCCAGTTAGTGTGGCTGTTTACCTCTTTTGATAGAAAGGTAGGTAGGTACACCACGAGCTGCTACAACGAGGAATGCGTTCATGCTGAATGACTCTTTCTATATCAAAAGTTCATTGGTACTTCTGACCTAACTAAGTGGCTTCATTTTGTAACCACCAAGTGCCATGCTGAAAACTGCAGTGTGGCCGTGAGGTTGTTTTAATATCACTGACTGATGATCTCTGTCTCTAATGGGACTGCTTTGCTGGAATACTTGCATAGAGCACTTGGTCTTATCTTACAAGTTTCTGTTGGCTGGATTCTTCGTTCTTAAACTAATGCACCTGGGTTGCCAAGGGAGAGTTATATTTTAACAGCATAAAATAAGTCGTTATCAGTGGCTTGGAAATCACTTACAATAATTACAGGGTATTGGGAAAATCCAAAACAAAATTTTTCTAGATGTTTCGTCGTGTAAGTCAAAGCTTACTGAGCAAAATGACTCTAATTTTCTTAACCACCTGAACATTCAACTAAAATTATAAAAATTGTAGTACGCCTGTTGATAGACAGCCCTCATTGATAGATATTTTTAATGATATAACAAATGTTAATGATCATCACATATGTGATGTATGGTAACAACTTGCCGCACGTTTATGTTTGCGGGTGTATGTTTGCACCATTTATTGTACACAAGATATAGAAATTCATGTTTGAAAATCATGACAATTACGAGAAGTTAAAACATAGCGGCAAATAATTTTTCATAGTTTTGTTTCGCTAGAGTGCTCCACATAGGTGATTAGTCCACCCCTCCTCTTCTATTTATTACATTCTATGTGGCTAAACTACTTAAGTCTTCATTGCTCAGCCTCCCTTTAAGTGAAAGAAAGCCCTATCCTAGAGCCTTTACACTGTCGCAATCGACCTTATGTCAACCTCCTGTTATATGCGTTTCTATGGCCGATGTTTTTCAGACTATTTCTGCTTCGTTTCTGGGTGAAAGTTTTGCGCACACTCTATGTTCATCAACACTGATCTCCACCTGTTCATTACTTCTCCTTATAAATCAAGCCTCATATTATGAATATTAGACCCTATAGACACAGTTGTTAAAAATAGCTACCGACAGATGCACTGTAGTCTACATGATTTTGACTATTAGCCCGGATGTTTAAGAAAATTGCAGTAACTTTGCTTGAGAAGCAAAAATTCACACGATGAAACGTTCAGAAAAATTTTGTTTTGGATTTTCTGAACACTGAAGTTACTTTAAGTAATTTTCTGGTCGTCCATTTTGAATCATTACTCAGATTATCTTGAGAAATTCATGGAGTCTGTGGTCTGCACATTAAATAATGTTAGACCACAGGCTATTGCTGATTTATAAAAGAATAGTTTTTTAATCGAATATCAGTGGAGCATTCTAAGCCTTTACACTGTTTCAGAATATGTGGCGGCATACTAAAAATCAACACCTCAGATTTCACTTCACTGTGAATCAGTAGTGAAGATGTAAAGATGATCCAAATCACTGAACTAACGACACCTTGTTTTATGTAAAACTCACAAACAGACATCCCCTCCCTCAGTATCAGTTGAGTTGACACGGAAATACAGCAGTCCAAATCTCGCCACGTTGTTGAAAGTATATGAGATCACCTTTCCTATATTTCATCCGGTTAGGTGGAGAGTATACAGGAGAAACCTTTCTTCATCACACTATTTCTGTCTACCATATTCGTAAGTACTTCCCAGCGAAAGGTTATTTTTGGTCGCTGGTCGGATTTTGAGTGGAACCTAAGGCTTCAGCAGCAAACTGCCCTTTCATTGTATTCACCGCAATCTCTCATAGCTGACCCAATGACTACATTTGGCCGTTTACGTTCTCCCAAGACGGTTATCCATAGACTCTCAAAACCTTCACTTCCTACTTAAATTCCTCTAGTCATTCCGGAGTGGAGTCTTCTTTAGAGTTCCCCTCCACCTAAGCACAGTCCAAATTCATTATTTCCCGCGTATTTCTCATGCAATAGGCTCCTATTTGGTTCGTTCTCAGATTTTCCTGTTGCTGCAGTTTTCATTCGCCTATAACGTGTTGGTGGCGCTACTGATAAGCTGCACTTTATCAGGCTTTATTATTATTATTGTTTCCTTTAATACCTGGAGGAACATAGTGCCGCAGCCGCGCATCTCCGTTGCGTTTGGTTCTCCGCCAACGTTTTCACCCGGCTTCACGTCTGCTCACATGCTTTCATCCCCTCTTCATATGATCTCCTCCATGTCACCCTCGCGATGACGACCAACTCGTCACTTCACATCTGGGTTCCTCTCGAGCGATGGCCTGGTGTGTGATGTCACCCACTTGATGGTTTGTTTGGCCAGTCCACCTCAGTTTCTTCTTGCATTTTGTTACGCAATTGGTTCTTGCTAGGTTGGCGATATGTAGTCACATGATGTCTGCTTTGTTCTGACAGTCTGATATATTTTGCTATGTGTATTTTGATGGATATTCCATTATAACTCACAATATGCTATGTCTGTCCATTAACTAAATAAACGATGTATGACCTTTTTGTCACATGACATTACAACCAATCAGAATCCAATGATGGTAAGAAAACCTACTGTCTATCTTAATGGTTGATGTATATTAGTCATTTTCATATATACTCTTGTATTGTACACACTCTTTTTCATTCTCTCACCTTTCGAACTATTTGGTACTTTCACTCGCACTTTGTGTGACAGTTATTTCCCTTGTGGAAAGTACACGTATCATCGTGAATGTACAGGTCTTCTGATTTTTCTTCTTCGCGTCAGGACAAATTTAGTTCTCAGCAGTACCAGTCTGTAAGTTATCGTCCGTTATATCTCATTAGCGTATATTTACACTCGGTCACACCCTAAAATCTGCAACGATCCCACAGCTTATTGACGACGAGTACATAACAGTTGGTTCGATCCCATAGATCCCTGTTGCTGATCTTTTCTGACCCGCCATCTCATCTTGATTATTGATAAAGGTCTGTGTTTTGTTCCAAGTGGCCTTCGTGACGCGGCGCCAAGTTTCTGATCAGTATATTTGTGGCACTGAATTCACATTGGAGTTGAAAATCCGGATCTTATTTTTGATGCTGAGTGCTGTTCATCTCCACACAGACTTGAGAGTAATGAAAGCTTGTCTTGCTTTCCTGATCCTCGCTTTGATATCCTCGTCAGTTCCGCCTGTAGTTGAAACAATGCTTCCCAAGTAGGTAAAGGTGGTTGCCTCTTTCAGATTTCTCCCATTTATGCTTATCGTTGTCTGTTGTTGCTGCTGTGGCTGTTGGTGTTGGCCAGGAATCTTCATCACCTCTGTTTTCTCTATGTTCACCTGAAGTCCCTCCTATCTTTGATGCTTCTTCTGCCAACTTGTTGCTTTTCGCTTGCATATCTTCCAGTTTGTGGGAAATCAGATGTATATCATCGGCGAAGTCGAGATCCTCCAAGTTTTTTGTGTGGGTCCATTTTATGCTCGTCTTCCCGCTGCCCGCCACTGTCAGTGCATTACTTGGCATGCAGCATTGTCGTACAATTGTTGGATGAGATGTATAATTGTCGGTGGCACCCCGTAGTGGCGAAGTAGTTTCCAAATCACCTCCCGATCGACGCTGTCGAAGGCCTTTTCAAAGTCGA